TACTCTCATGCTTGGATTGTATTTTTGTGTTCCCCTGACTGGATTTTTTTCTTACTTAAAAAAAATACTTATATTTTCACCAAGATTAAATAATATGCAATTGACCAGGGTATAAAAATTCTCAACAAGTTTTAAAATTATAATATAATTTGTAGATCAAGAAATAAATTGTGGATCAATTCAGAAACACAAACAGAAGCTGAGAGAGAAAAAAAGAGAATTTTAAAGAAGAAAAAATATAGGAAGAAAAATGAAAATGTAAGCATAGACATTAATGGACTTCTACAGTTAGAATGTACATAAAGCAAAAAGTAACCCAATCAACAGGGAACTGAGAAAGGACAGCTAAGAAATTGGAATGAACTGTACAAGAAGCAGAAGAAACACGCTCTAAAAGCTAGACATCTCAATTCTAGAGATTTGCTGTGAACCTTAAGTCTGTCTTGCTTCACTTCCCTGTTTCTCTAACAGAAAAGAGAATAGTGCTTTGTATTATTGCTCACCAAACAAATACATCAGATGTGCTTGATTGTTATTATTGTTGCTGATAAATTACCTGAACACATAAAGACAATTTTATAAACAGAAAGTGCTTACAAAATGGAAGCAATCATATTAACAAACCCAGACTCTGTTTGATTTAAAAACCAGTGGGACATCTGGTTGGCTGCTAGTATAATTGGCTACCAGCCTGTTGTTTTGTTCTGCTAAAAGAGGGACCGTATGTCCTGTGGATATTATTTGCTCTTGGTCCAGGGGGACCTAAGTTTCCATTAGATTACAAGCTCTATACACATATCCAAATGAGTATGAAGCTCTTGCAACATTTCTTTAAATCATTCTTGGTGTTTTTCAACTACTGGGTTTCTTAACTTCCCTGTGGTTCTTGGTGTATAAGAATTATATTCTTGGTGCTATCTTTAAAGGAACCTTTTAGCTTGTCATATATTTCGAAGGCTTCCTATGATAATCAAACTAAAGAGTTCCACAAGCTAAGTAATCTACAGCCAAGAACCTGTGCTAAAATATTTGCTTATAGGCTACAAATATCCTCTCATATACCTCAGCTTATCTCTAGATTACTTACAAAACTTACTCTAATATAAATAAGATATAAACTTCTGAACTACTTAGAGATACTGACTAGAAAATGTCTGTATATTTTCAATACAGATTCAATTTTTATTCCATTCCTTTTTGTGTGGTGTTGGTTCAGTCTGCAATCAGAAAACCAAAAACATCAAGAATATCACTGTTCTCTTGTGTCCCTATCAGACTCAATTTCACTTACTTGCTTGTTCATTTATTATCATATCATCCATAAAATAATGTTTCAATACTTGTCTGGTCTGTGCCAGTTACCATAGCTTAATGTATGGTCATGATTACCCAAAGAAAGGGATGTCTACAATTCCATATAAGACTTCTTTAATTAACCTATACTTTTCATCATAACAATGCACAACAAAAAAAACCCATTTTACATTCAAAATGCAACTTTTAGAAAAAAATTCATATGTCTTCCCTATTGTTGAACACACTTTTTTCCATGTTACCCTTCCTTTCATCAACAGCTGCTTTTATGTCTTCTTTCCACCCATTTCTACCTCTCTGCATGAATCAGCATTGCTCTTAAAGACTTTATCAGTGCAACTGAGATTTCCTTTTGCATTATCAGAGTCCTTCAAATATCTAAATTACTTTCAAAGGCTTCTTCTCCTGGGGTATTAATGACCCCTACAGATCAATATGCCATCCTTTCTTGCTCCTTACCGTTCTCTCCCATTATAATTTTCCTTTCTGTGTTTAGTTATTTGCGTCTGTCATGCTCCTTCCATGATTCACTGTAGCTACTGGCCCTTGTTTTTAAATACTTTTCTAATTGTTTGCTCATGTATACCTATTTACTTTTATAATTCAGTTCATTTCATTGCTGTGTACACAAATACAAATTTACAAATAAAGGTGTGCGTTCACTAAATAATAACACAGATGTACACACTTTGGCACCTAATTTATCGCATCAAATAATATGTTCTTGTGCACAGAATCTTAATATAGCTTGCTACTGAGTCAATGAATTAATGGCCACTCTTTTTGGGCTTTGCTACGCTGTCAGTGAACATGATATAGAAAGTGAGAATGGATGCGAGATGAAGATTACTGACAATTTTAAGCTTTGGGGAAATAATTAGGAGAACTTAATAGAAATTTATCTTAATAGTACAGATTTCCTTCAGGTTCCATTCTTAAAAGTGGGCTCCTTTCTTAATAGTGAGCAAACAGGGAGCAATTTCTTCTAAATCCAATGTTTCACCCACATGTTACTGCAATCTTTAAATGTACATGTTACTCATAGGCCTTGTGATGCTTACATCACATGTGTTTTGGAGAATGACAAAATCTACATAGTTAATCTTGGGACAATGTGAGCTATAGAGTGAGATACAATTTCCAAATTGTGACCCTCCACTACCAAGGAAAGAATTAAGCTTGGAGAGAGAGTCACAACAAAATCTTTGCCTTAGTTTGATTTTTAGAAAAAAAGACATTACGCATTGTAGATATGACAACAAGTTAAGCAGAGTAATGTAATGCAAAATATTTTTCACAATTTTCCTTTAAAATAATGTTCCTTAGTAATGATGGCTTTTAATGACACAATTTATTCATGGTAACATGGAAAATAAAACTACAGAAAATCCCTGTAAGAATTTGCTGATACTCTTAGTTATAAATTAGCCATCAAATGTCTTCCTGACCCTATTGTCAAGCTAAGAAACATGACAGTTGTGCAAGGATGTTTCTCAAAAATGTTTTTCTGAAGTTTAAGTTAGCAAGGCTAATGTTTAACTTGTTCAGTGACAATTACTCATTGTTTTCAAGTGGGTCAACGAGTTTAATGCCATTTTTTTCCCAGAAGGACACAAACTTTTCCTTCTCTGTTACATTACTGATCCAAGGATTCTAAACAGTTCACTATGAACTCTCAAACAATGGACAATGAAATACAAAGAATGATTCTGATAATTTAAAATTTTGGCTTATATAAAATGATTTTGAAAAAGATTGTATTATTAGTTTATATGCTCTAAACATATCCAGTCTGATATATAGATTAAAGACCAAGTAAACTTCATTAATGACTGATACTGGCCTATTGGAAGAGGACTGCATCTAAAAGAAAATAAATCACTGGGGAGTAGGGAAGAAGATATAAATGCTATTGCAATTTCAAAGATGGAGTGACATTTAGAGGTGAGATAAATTTTGTTTCTTCTTTGGAGTAAGATTTTTGAAGAGAAATGAAAACTACCTGATGATGTGTCCTGAGGAGTATTTTCTCAGCAGATGCTATCAAGAGGGTGGTCATTCATTCAAATTTAATCCTGAATGCCTAGCAGCTGTTAGGAATTGCTGCTAGGATCACTTGATTATTCCCAACTGTCTTCTTCAGTTAAAACAAAAAAAGAGTAGGGTAGTTGTTAATCTAAATGGTAGGCATTTTATACCCTAAATTATGTTTTCTATAGTAATGAAAGAGCCATATTGTTTCATATTTGGGAGTATAAGTTACAAACTCCACATAGAAGTTTCTTCCTGGTATTGAGTAAGAAAGTGAGCTCCTGCAGTCATCACCACTTGCTTACCCCTTCCCCATCTGTCCCACAGTCAGAGCTCAGATTGCACTTGGTTGCTGTTACCAGAACTGCTCCCCTAGGCTCTAGGTCAGAGTCCTCCACAAGCTGTCAGAAGGAATGGCACACTAATGAAGAATGACAGAGACCTGGTACAAGTGGGAATCACAGGCTGTCTTTTTGTGTTTGTTCAGACAAAATACTTGTGGAGATTTCCTGGAATCTGAGCAATTCTCCCTGGGAGACACATCTATGCTTTCCCTAACTTTGCCTAAACAAAAACAAGTAGGTAAGGAAATAAATAAATACAAATATTCAAACATTGGAATTGCTCATAAGATGGCTAGTTTGATACAAAGTGAAGGGCAGATGAAATTAATGGTTAACCTGTAGCTATAATACAGTCAAAATTGCATATATTTGACACTGAGATGAACCCTTTTTAGCACTGTCAATATTTATATATTTTTAGTTTATTTTCTTTTCTGTTGAATGGAAAGGCCCATTTGAGATAAGGAACCAAAATAATTGTATCCACACGCAGCAAAGTGCCAGGCATCTCCAACCATGAGAGCTCTAAGTAGAATATTATGGAGAACACTGTTATTGATTGTTTGACAAAGTGGAGGGTAGGCACTATTAGTTACAGGAGAGTTTCACATAAAACATGTAACTCTATGCCCTGACTAGGCCCTTAGTACCTTTCTAGAATAGAGTTATTGAATGAAAATACCATCAAAAAAGAAACAGAGCCAGATGATTTCATTCATCTTTCTTGATCTCTCTGTTTGTTTAACTATGGAGAAATTCTTAATACATTGATCATTTATTAAACCAGTGATTCATTGACAAAAAAACAGGTCACTATACTGTCAGAGCTTAACTTAATCACAGTGTTTATTCAGATTGAAAGTCATGCATTATTCACGTTTGTACTAAGCAATATTTGCTCTAAACCAACCTCAGAAAACAAGCATTCAAAAGGTTTTAAATAACAGTAATTTAAACCTAAACACCACAGTAATGGGTGGCACATGATGACTCATTAACTGAGTTAAACAAGAATGACCAAACTATAACTAAAAACAGGGGGAAACATGCTAAGAGAGCTCGCCACATAGACATTCACACTTTGTGGACAGATAAGGAATAGCTTCTACAAGTGGCTGGAGCAAAGCCCTGTTTGTTGATTATACCACAATGAACTGCTGCTTCGCCGTTTTGCACTTGATCAGGAAAGAAACCCAAGGCCATCTCTATCAGAGTAAATGATAATGGCAAGAAGCAAATTGACTAGAAATCACGGAGCATTTTCAATTTCTGTGTTTCATAAACACATTAACTATTTCTTAAGGAACTTACCAAAGTTTCAGCAGGAAGAGGATTAAGGGTTTTATTTACCTCAACTGAGGCACAAAATGAGGGCGATTTTTCACATTAGCTTTCATTTCATACATCTCAGGTGTCAGAGACCTATATTTATCTCCTCTTAGGCGTGGGTCTGAAGTGCTGGAATGCTCGGGATGTCAATGGCTGTCAGATGTCAGGATAGCCTAGAAGATAAATGAATGGTTGCGACCCTGTGCCTCCTCCCAGAGTTCTCAGCTGCTGGGCTGTGGCATTGGTATGTTTACTTTCCGTGCCTCCTTCAACGGTCACCCTGAAGCCAATCTTAAAATCCTGTGACTGGGCAAGCAAGCTCTTCTAGACGTCGGTGAGCTGAATTATTTTTTATTTAGGAGTGTAGCTGTTTGTGTCTTTATAGCTGATGTACTGTTATCCATGAATCAATTATGTGAAATCTGACAAGATGTATGTTATCTGGTATAATAATTTGATCTGTAATGCTTCTGCCAAGAAGTTTCTTTCCTTGCAGTTAAGAAGATAAAGATATTTTATTTTGAACCCTTAAATATTAGATTGCCAAATCTCTCAATTCATTCTGTTAGATTTCCGCTTTTGAAATTTCATATCTCATTTCTTTTTTTTTTTTAGATTATTTGAGGAAGCAAAGTTCTCACCAAATTTTTGTTGAAATTTTTAATTCTGTGTAGTTTCAAAATTTATGTTTTGTGTCTAAATCTTATTTCATACCTTATTGAAATTTGTTTATGTTTTAGGCATTTTAGAATATTAATCTTTTGGTCCCATTGCTCTAAAATCATGAATTAAAGTTTTTTTGCTTCAAGATTATAAAACTCAGAGTGGAAGCTCAATGGACTTCATGGACAGGCTCTGAAAATGTTTTCTGGCTTCCTGGCAATACTAACTTAAGACACAAAACATAATGGGAAAGATTCACAACCTTAGTTGGCTAACTTATAGGGGAATAGGAAAGAAGTTCCTCTACACACAAAATTGGAGCTCCTTGTTGATCACATAACTTAGATTGACCGGTGTCCCCCACATATGCTCTTTGTGGGTTAGTGGAAGGTTTTATCGAATAGCAGATATTTTTCTAAAGGTATGCTTCATACACAGTAATGCAAATAATTCTGGAGTAGCAACTTTTCACAAAGTAAACTTAACAGTCAACTTAAACTTTACTGATTAATTAGCTGATAATACTGAAGTGGTAATTGATTTTGACTTTCTGGTCTATTTTGAAAAGCTCAGGACTGAATTAAGTGTATTTACTGGGAATCATTACTGACTTGTCTTGGGAGAATGGCTGTTTGACATGAGGCTTATTTTTGTCTAAGGAATGCTGACTGATTCTTACAAAGGAATAGACTTCTTTGTCCCTCTTTGGGAGAGAACTCAAAACTAGGAAGGAATCTGGATCAAATGAAAACAAACAGGCCACCTGCCTTCTTCTCAGGTGTACCTAAATAATGAAAGTGGATTTGTGGATCAGGAAGACCTCCGTGAGCCTTAGAGGAGGAAGGGGAAGTGTCTTCAAATGATGTACTACATAGGCACTAATTATATGCAATTGGATCCACTCCTAATGGATAAGGACAGTTTTGCAATGGAGAGATCTGAGAGTTTAGAGAAGAAATCAAGCACCTGAGGAGAGTAAACAAAAATTCACCTGGGAGAAAGCAGGGTTTCCTCTCTGGGTTGTCAGAGGGGAAAGAGTATTCTTGGTGCTGAAAAATGAGTGCCAAAGGTAAGTGTAGGGCCATTTGAGTAGTGACAGCAAAGACAAACTACTATCAGAAGATTGACTTAACCATGGCCACTGTGCCTCAGGAGTCAATTCTTCAGTAAGGTGATGACTTAGAAATGGTATCAGACATTCCTAGTATTATAAGTTTACCTTCATAGTTATCTCTGTTTGTTGGGAAAAGTTACAAAAATTAAGAGTTCCTGGAAACTGAGGGCCTTCAGGGGTCTGCACCAGGTCCTTCGTGTGTATGTTCTGGCTTCTGTGGCTTCCAGTTTAGTGTTTCTATGAGACTCCTGAGTTTGTGAACTAGTGGGTCTCTGATTCTTGTATCTTCTCCTTGAGTCTTTTCCTTCTGTTGGTTGCTTTTGTCCAATTCTGATGTGTTACTTTTTGTTTTATCCTTTACTGTGATATAGTAAGTACATCATATTTTAAATATAATTCCTTAGAATTCGGTTTGTTTTTTAATGAGTAACAGAAAGGGAGTGGATCTTGATGAAAGGGTGAGTAAGAAGGAATAAGGAAGAGTACAAGTGGAAACAGTAATAAGGATACATTATGTGAGAAAAAAATCTATCTCATAAAAGGAAAAATGTTAAGATAAAAGAATTTTTGTAAATTGAAATAAGAAAATGTATTGTGGGTTTCTGTGTTTTTCATGATGAGCATTGTTTGTAGGGAAATTGCAATGTGCATTACTCTTTACACCCATGTGTCTTAAAACACTCTTTAATCCTTGAAATGCTTTCTCTTATGAGAAGCAGTTAGGGCAAACAGGCAATAGACTAGAACTCTAAGTGCACAGGGAATGCAGAAGGAATTATAAGTTCAGTAAATAGTTCTACTCTTTCATTTCTTTTGTGTAGCTGTACAGAAAGTAGCTGAGATGCTGAAAGCATGTACGAAGGGCTAGCAGTCTGCCACAGATTGCAGTCATTTGTTTGTTTGTTTTGAGACAGTGTCTCAAATATCCAAGGCTGGCTTCAAACTCATTATGTAGATAGGGTAGGATGACCTTGAATTTATGGTCCTCTGTCTCTGTCTCCCCATTGCTGGGATTACAGGTATGGGCTTCCAAGTCCCTTCATGTGATGCTAGCAATCAAATTAAGAGATTCATGCACAAGTGCTAAGTAATCACTCTACCAAATGAGCCTCAGCCCCAATAACTTTTTAAAGAATAGGGTAAACTCTACTATGTGTCTTTTACAAGATGGGCCATTTACAAAATTATGTAGCATTTCTACTTAGGTCCTTTGTAATTCTCTACTAAATAGTTGAAGATGTTTTGTAATGTGCCCAGAGACCTTTGACATAGAAGCACTGGCATATGAAAGAAGAAATGACAGGGAATTGGCCAAGATGATGGAAAGGGACATATGAGACAACTTGGCTACATTCACAAAGAGCCGAGTATGATCTAGGAAGAGACTGCCTTGCCCTTCAGTGCTTCAGAAGTTTGAAAGGGGAATAAGGACAAGATTTAACCATTATTATTTCTATGTTTATATGTCTTTTCTTCAAATATGTCAAGTGTAAATTTTATGCTCCTGTTAAATTTTTGTAGCAAATTCATAAAGATATTGGGGCATAGTGAACAAGTTTTTCTTTGCAGTCCCATCAGGAGACTGGGGCAAGAGGATCACTGTTATAGGCCACATATCTTGAGATAAACAGTGAAAGTGTCTGAACAAGAAGTTACCACCATCACAAAATAATTATATTGTCATATATAAGATGTGATTAATTATGGTCATCTCAGTTTGATTACAAATCACTTACAGATCTGTTTTGCCTTTTGCAAAGTTTGTACAACTCTACGGAATGCAGTCAATACCACCATAAAGTCCACTTGTTTCATGTCATCCAGGCAAGTTGCGAATGATGTAATAAAAATCAGCTTATTTGGTATAATAGTTCCATGGCATAGAACCCCAAGCATCAAGTGAGTAAAACAGTCGGTCCTATCCTTTGGGATAGGGCCTAGGCCCTACCCTGTGTGTCTAGATTGAGAGAGTATACCTCTATGTGGAATGGGCTCCCAAAGTCCACTCCTATGCTAGGGATAAATACTGATCTACTACAAGAGGCCCCATAGATTCCCAAGGTCTCCTCACTGACGCCCACATTCATGTGGTCTGGATGAGTTCCATGCTGGTTTCCCAGCTATCAGTCTGGGGACCAATAGCTCCCCCTTCTTCAGGTCAGCTGTTTCTGTGGGTTTCACCAGCCTGGTCTTGATAAAGAATTAGGTTCTTTATCCCTGGCACAGGAATGGACTTTGGGAGCCCATTTCACATGGAGGGATTCTCTTTGAGTCTGGACACATGGTGGAGGGTCTAGGCCCTGCCTGGGATGACCCTCTTTGACAGACTTTGGAGATTCCCCATGGAGGTCCTCACCCTCCCTGGGGAACACAGGGGAGACAGGATGGGGGCTTTGGGGGGGATGTGGGAGGGGAGGGAGAGGGAGCTGGGATTGACATGTGAAGCAAGCTTGTTACTAATTTTAAAAAAATTAAAAATTTTAAATTTCATGACACAATAAGTTATTCGTCTAAGCCAGGCATGGTGACACAGGCCTTTAATGCCAACACCAGGGAAACAGAGATAGGTACATCTCTTTGAGGCTGAAATCAGCCTGGTCTACATTATGAGTTTCCAGTCCAGCCAGGGCTGCATATTAATTATCAAAAGTATAATAATAAATACAATGGATCTATTCTTTACTTTCTAAATTGCCTTTAAAGGGAGTTGCTGATAAATGTATGTGATCTTACAAAATGAAGGTATTTACATGTTTCTCTACAATACAATTAAAATATTATGCTTAAAAAGGAATTCGGTTCTTTCATCTCATGCTTCACAACCATTTGAAAAATATCCATGTACACCATCTACAAAGCACAGAGATCTGTGAAATATTTTTGAATAAACTATGGAGTTAGATGTTGCTATAGACTATTCTTACCTATGCCAGTACCATTAGCCATAGTTTTTTTTTTCCCTAATTTGGCAGTTTCTTTTGTTGATGTTTATTCATTTGTTTTCATTTTTGCTTCTCAAAATGAAACAGATCATCCACTCACAAAATTAAAGATATACTGGAAGAATGCTGTACATTGTTCTGTGATACTTATTAGAAACTAAGTTACTGAAGTTTCCCCAGTGCCTCAGTCCACAAAGCTCATTCCTTTTACCCAGTAATGATGTATCACTCTTTTCTTTACTTGCATGTAAGATGTAGGCAGTCTTCCATGTTCAGTTTCCTAGACTCCTTTTGCTACATATACCTTGCTCAGGATAAAAATCAATGGAAACACTGAGCAGAGTATTTCCCACAGTTTGTCCAGAGATCTTC